AAAAATCGGATTTGATGCGCTTTCGCCTGCAGTGTGAACGTAGCCTTAGACTCCTTCATGATTAACCTCTTAATTCTGTATATTTTGTGATTTGAGGCAACCCCCCCAACACCACCGTTAACTGGCTGTAAATGTTACTAATGTCTTAACTGCATTCATTTCAGTGTCTTGTCATTTAAGCTAAGTACATATTTGCATAGAAATGCAAATTCTTTACTGAGAAATGATTCTAATTCTTATATTATTTTTATTTTTGTGTCATTGTTTCTTTCTTGATTTCCTGCAGAGTACTCACAGAGTTAGTGTCTAAAATGAAAGACATGCAGATGGATAAGACGGAGCTCGGCTGCTTGCGAGCAATCGTCCTCTTCAATCCAGGTCAGTCTGGCCTCTTGAGACTGTTACGTACCACCCAAAACAACATTTTCACAGACATTTCAGTTGTTATTTCACTGCTTCTTTTAGTAACTGCAGAATCACTATACTGGATTCATGAAGTTCATGTGAACATATTTGTCAAGTGTAATGTTGGTCATCACAATATTATGGCTAGTTGGAGAGATTTTACTGTGCACCCATGTGTTTCTAATGGCTCAGTCAGACTAGACTAAAAATAGGATGGTAATCTACTTTATATCAAGAAAAATGAGTGATTGCCTGGATTCTTTTTGCTGATTAAAGTAGTTGCAGCAACCATTTTCAATTGCACAGGTGTCTTGGTAGAAGAAAACATCGTTGCTGAGCACCTGTGTCATATAAATCAGTCAATTAACCATCCTGCAGCAATTAGGTCATTATTTGTGGAGGAATTTCTGAATCTCTGTTTAAAATTTATGAGGTTCTGGCTGGACTCTAAATGTAATGATGCATTCAGTTTCCCTTGGAAGCAGAGCTGGGAGTGACATCACTCCCGAGTTGAGCGTGTTCCAGTAGTGAAGTCAGAAAAACAGGATTTATTTTGTTCCTTAGCAAGTAGAGCCGTTCATACCACGATGGGGAAACAAGGTGATGTTTGTTTGGGTTTGTTGTTGTTGTTGTTTTTTAACTGAAAAACGCAACAGCAACACATTTATGGTTAGAGCTGGACGGTGTTCTGTATATGGCTTATTTAGTGAATCAAATATGTACAACAGTATTTTCACAGATTTAGAGTTGAGAACGCTGAAATTCAGACTTATAGCTTCAAATGGAATACACTGGATTTCTGTGTTGTTAGACAGCAACAGATTTATGATTTTTGCTCACAGTTAAAAGCCATATTATCACAAACAGACTGCAGAAAATTGACTCCATTCGATCACGAACTAGCAGAATGACTTGTGTGTTTTGTTTTGGGTCTTTTTTCCAGATGCAAAAGGTTTGTCTAACCCAGCAGAGGTTGAAGGGCTGAGAGAAAAGGTCTATGCCTCATTGGAGTCGTATACAAAACAGAAGTACCCGGACCAGCCTGGCAGGTAGGAACTGTTCCGTTACAACATCGATCATTTTTAAACACATTGCTGCACTGGATGTAAAGAATAATAAGGACGGCAGCTTGCATTATATTAGTACACAGCTCTTATGCAAGTAAAACACTTTTGCCTAACCACAACATTGCATTTAAAAGGATGTAGGCTGATAAC